GTTAATGCACATTGAGACTGTGACATTGAAATAGTTACTGCACATTGAGACTGTGTCCTTGAAATGGTTGATGCACATTGTATAATTAACTTTGAAATTGTTGATAAATACTTTTAACTGTGAACTTGGCACCTTGGGCGAACATGGATGAAAATGATGCTTACCCAACTCAGTGTTGCTTTAAATTTAGGGAAGAAAAACGAGCAACTCATTATCATCTATTTTACCATGATATTATCTTAAATCTTCATAATTCTTAGAACCTATATTTCTCATTAAGCTCTCACATCAAAAAGATAAATTTGCTCTTAAGTTTTTATCAAAAATACAAGTTATTTTATCATTTTCTGGCATGTCAGATATAAAATAATTTGAGGTTAGTGACCATCATAATTTTCAAGTCTTAAGTTTATCTTTCAACCTCTTGTTTTGGAAGAAAAACAGAATTCAGGGAAACTATAGTTTGAAGCATGGGCCAATAGGTCCTTCCTTAATTGTGTTAAATTTTTTGTTTATCAAATGCCGTTTTTTTTTTTGTGTGTGTGTGTTTATTTTTTTATCAATATAGGTCTGTTGTACTTGTAGGGTTCAGATCCTGTTAGAAAGCTTTCATGAAACATTTATATGCTCATTTTTGTAATTCATTTTTTTGGCACACTTACAAAATGCCAGTCTTCCACCAATATGCTGGCCACATAAGGTTGTCACAAAAGAGAATCTAACTTCCTTATAGTCAGGTAGGTATCTGAACCTATAGCATAAAGCTGCCGCAAATATTCCAAGGTCATGACTTCAACCACCTGTGAATAAAGGTCACCTGCTGAGATGTTATAATTATATCAATTAATGTCCTGCTTAAAAAAACAAACATTAAGTTTTATTTACATTTTCAAAAGTCGCAAAAAATATATCGAACCTGCATGAAATAATAGTACGGAAGTGCGGAAAATTTAACGAATAACAATTTCACATTTATATCAATTTATACATTGATTTTGGATATAACATTATGACAGTAAAATAACGAAATGTAATTAATTTCACCGACAATTAAACATGTTTCCGAAATATGAGATCGGATTTTCAAATTATATGAAAAGTAAGATGGCCATGTTAGCATGTTAAATGGCCATTTTGTTGGAGATAGATGAATCAATCTAGCATGAGTTTTATTAATATCCATAAACATTTACCTGCAATCAAAATTGGTTTCCTGTCCCATGTTTCATTCCAGATAATTTGCTTTTTAGTGGGCTCGAGTTTCTGTGCGGTCACCGTAAAATAATGCTAATGTGAGCAGGTCAGTTTTTCAACATTTTCAATGAAATAATTGTAGTGCTTTGATCATAAATTTTATTCGTTAATTAGATTAACAGGCTGGGTTCTTGTGTTTCCTAGGGTGTCCGTGGCCAAATGTTTATGGTTGTTGACAGAAAACCACTTGCCCGGCCTCACCTCTGTAGGTTCGAATCCTGATGGGGACTCTAAGGATTCTTTCATTGAGGAAGTTATCCAGCTAGCTTAAAGAACAATGTTGGTGCCTGTTTGTGCCTGAAATAATGCACTGAAGGACACCTGAGGTCTTCCTCCATCAGTATAGCTGGAAAGTCACTATATGACATAAACACTGTGTTGGTGCTATGTAACAAAAAAATATTTTACCCACATTTTTAGCCCACTGATGGCAATAGACCTACTAATGCAACCTCTGCACACCAAGATCAACCCTTCACATCCAATACTGTCGGATCATGGTCTACACTGTTTGCTATTTACTAAGAACATGTTACACGTTATATCACTAATTGTCCAGTCAGTACATAATTATCATGAAGCTTGCAAACAAAATGTTATCAAAGATTGTTTTGTCCAGATTGAAAGATGGAATAAGTCTGTTTAATAAGATACTAAGTTAGCATGGCTAAGGGTCATAAAATCATTTCAATAAAACACAACTGAAATATTTTCATCTTTACTGTTATTTCTATAACTATTCATTTAAGTTTCTATTGCTAACAGGGACTCAGAGCTTTACTTTCAAATGACTAGTTTATAATTGAAGAGAAATTATGAATCGGTACCAGAATTTACAGCTTATTCTAGTATATCCCTGAAAATAGATAATTACAAGAATAACAGGTGCTGCGATATTTCACCGTCTGATTTGAATTCATTTGACAAATTGTTATCAAATCCCTAATACTTTCTATATGTAACCTCGTTATTTTATCTTTAAAAGATTTCTTTGAAAACGGAATGAATCATTTTGATTAGAATTTGATTAAAAGTTATCACTGGGCTGATCTTTTAATGAAGTAAGTGGCTTTTTTTCGATAACTTGGGGGAAATTAAAAAAACAGATAGTTTTGAAGTTTGGATCATTGTTGAAATTTTATCTTAGCTGGTGCCTGACTGTCCAAAATTTCAATGCATTTCCACTCAAGATTGTCTCGTTCCACTCTGCCTTTAGTTTCCTTTGGTTAGAAACTGATTTCTATTTAAAGTCGGTGGAAATTATATATTTTCACAATTTTCACGTTGAATTACGGCACTTTTTCAGTATCTGATGGCAAGGTTGCATGATGACATGGTATATACAGAGAGTCGGTCCTTATCAAGAGTTGCGTATGTTGTCTTCAAAATGATATCAAATTCCTCGTTGCCTTTTCTCTGAAGTTTTGTTATCTCTTTCATAGAAGAATTAGAGAAATGAACGTTGAAATATAGTTAAAAGTATCGCGGGTTGCTGAATAGCAGCCAAGTGTTTGATATACTTCTTATAGAAATTCGTCTACAAAAGAATCGAAACAAAATCTCTGTGAGATTGTTTGTAACAAAGATGATTATGGCTGTGAAACTATTTACACGATTTTGTTTCGTTGTTTCATAAGATGACAATGTTACTTTAGGTCCAATATAATTTGCTTTCGAAACAGCATTCTCTTTTGGTGACAAATTCTATGGCGACAGAGTTATAACATTTCATGTTCCATTCTTCCGTTTAATTGTGCAACAATCTATGACAATGGCCACAGATTTTTATCAAATAATATAATCTTGGTATTTAATAGATTTTCCATGTTTAATACAGTTTTATACCATTGTTTAAACGAGAAATTTAATAGAAATGTTTTGGTTATTTTCGTGCATTGATACGTAAAACATATGTATTACATAAAAATGTGCCTGCTGTCATTGTCTCATCAATAATTTAATTTCCTTTTACCCGTTTTATTCACAGTGTAATGTTCTAAATGGAAAAACAGTTGTCCAAGTTATGTTGCTGTCACATCATTTGTTACATGAATTACATTTGATTGAACAGATGAAGTGTGATAAATGTGCAGCAACTTTACAAGGAAAGAGGTAAGATCATTTGAAAAAAAAAGGAAAATGCTATAGTGTATTATATTTTCATTTATTTAACAATTATGTATATCTTTTCTAAAGATCAGTCCAATAATTTGTCCATTTCCAGGTTTTATATATTGAGTATCTTAATGGTTGTAAGTTGACAAAATTATTATCATGACTTTGTTGCCCTATACCAAAGAGTGGGCCACTTTGGTTGCATGGTTAATTAAAGCAAAAACAATTTTCTTTAGATATAATGAAATAAGAAAGGTTGTACATTATATTAACAAGGAAGTCTGTAAAATCTAAACCACAGTTATGCCTCCTTTCTAAATCATACAACTTTGTAGTCTTGATAATGTCACTAATTAACGTACATAAAAGAAAATTAATACAAATTTTCAGTCATCATTTTTTCAATCATAGTCTTCATGGTTATTACCATCATCTCAATTATCATCTGTAACTGATTTATCATGATGATTTAGATGATAATGATAATGAAAAATGTGGTAATTTTATCATTGTCATCATCACTCCAGTCATCATTTCAATCATCTTGTCTATCATTATCATTCCAATCAACATCATCTCAATCATCATCACTCCAGTCATCATTATCATCATCATTTCAGTCAGCATTTTAGTAATGATGGTCATCATCATTATCATCATCCCAATTGATATCATATTAATGATCATTTTCTTCAAATCTGTCCTTTACATCTGTCATCAGTATTCATTATTATCATCATCTATCATCATATTGATATCAAAACCAATCATCTTGTATCATTCATAATTAACAAGAGCATCATTATTTTATTTCATGAAATATTTTCACATGAAAATAATTTTAGCTGGATAAGCAGAATTAAGAATGTAGAGGCTATCTTACTAAAATAAACTTCCTTATTATGATAATAATTAAGCTGTTCAAAGAATTTACATGTATTTATAGATATGTAGTGATTAATGATGTGTTTCACAACATGTTTTTCCTTCAAAAAGTTTTCTCTTTGTATTTTCCTTAACTTGAAGCCAAAGGGATTGAAAATTTTTTGGCAGTATTAAGTACTTTTATGTCTTTGTTTTGAAAAATATTGTATGGGCTGTTTTCAATCAGCCCATCTCCGCTGCCAAATAATTGCGATTTGTTCTATTGAAAAAAATAATTTTATTATGCAGTGAAACAATGCTTACTTATATTGATCAGGTGAAATATTCATTTGCTTTGTTCATTTGCGATTAATATTTTGGGTTCATAACCGTCGTTTAGAGAGAGCACGGCCGTTGATAACATTTCTAAATGTAACCGTTTCATTATTCTTAAATGCCGCAATTGTAATTGAGGCCATTGTGTTTTTGGAATAGAGTGCGATTACATTTTTGTTTCGCCATTGACTGTTTTAACTTTTGTCTCTCACTTTAGAACTCCCCTACGGCGTAAAATTTATATCGTCATTGATATCTCGCAGTTCGATTCGAATTTGAAAACAATGCGAGCACATCTTTTCGTGATAGCTGTCTTATTGGAAGGGAAAGATAAAAGATAAACAATTGAATTGCGGGCACTTACTCAAGTCATTGAATCTCCGCTAGATCATTTTAATTGTGAGACTTTAGTTTCAGTCTAAACACATGAAAACAATTGATTGACTATTGTATTGGTATAAAAATTTTCATCTTGTCTCGGCATGAAATTATATTTATTTGTTTATTCATGAGGAAGAAAGCTTTTCAATCAGAAGCAGAATTTGTTTAGAGTGATTTGGGACACGTTTTTCTTCTCTTTAATTTTCTAGTTTTTTTTTAATTTTCTAACTTTTAATTTTGTTATTTTCAATTAAACCACACACCGTTTAAACAGCTGTGGTGATTTTCTTTTCTCATAATTTCTACCTTTTAAACCGTAAAGATTCGGACTAAACGTAGAAATCCGGGAATGGCGGAGTCTGAGGACGGGGAGTCGGTGGACGGGTATGATAACGATGTGTGGCTACATCAGGATGACATGCAATGTGAGTTGCCGTGTGGAAAACAAAACATTGATATAACATTGTGTGTGTGCTGATTTTAACTAATTTAATAACAAAACCAACTTAAAAAAAATATTATTTCTATTCTCTTACCCATAAATAAATTTAACCAATGTGTAACCATTTAACTTAATTTTTTTAATTTTTTTTTTATTAAAACATCTTTGGAATTTTTTTTCAATTTTTTTTCCATTTATTAATTATTTTATGTTTAACTTCTGTTTATATAATATACACGTGCCTTTTTTTTTATTTTTTCTGTCTTAGATTTGTCCTTTTATTTTCTTTCAAATTTTGAGACAAAAACATTAGTTATACATGTTTCAAATGACCAGTAGACCTTGACCTTAATTGTTGAATCGTGGCCACAGTATCTCTAAACCGATGGTTGAGTGTACTAGACTGTATGAAATATAATGTTACACATGTTATAATCATATTCTATTTAATTAAGTCACCTCTTTAATTGGTAATTGGCTGAAATTTGAATTATTCTCTATTGAATTTTAATTTATTTTTTTTTGGATAAGTTTGAAATGAGTTATACTTTCAAGCAATAAGTGCAATTATAAATCTTTTTTTAAACAAGAGTGACTATACAGTATATAAGCCCTGTAGGAGGACAAAATAAAAAAGATATTTTTTTCAGCTTAAAGAATGACAAAATAAGAAAAATTGTTTTTTTCACCTTTTGATATTTTTTTAGGAAATTATATTGTTTTAACATTTTATTGTTTAACACACTAGTATATTTGTAATATTTTTTGTTTTTGTTTTGTTTTTTGTTAATGGTTTAGTATAAGCAACATTGATGTTTGATTGGAAAGGAATGTTCCATTTTGATTTTTTTAATCCAGTCATAAATTTTGAAAAAATAAGATAAACTGTCTCATTTCTAATTTCTTCTTATAATTCCATCTGTCTTTATTGTAAACAAAAGTTGTGGCTTAATTGAGAGTATAGTCGTGTTTGTAATGTTTAGTTGTTATGTTACAAATTTTGATTTAAAGTTTCCCAAATAAGATAATTTTTGCTAGAAATTTTACTATCCCCCATAAAATGTACAATTTTGAAATTTTGAAGAATCTAATTTTTTTGTTTATCAATTTTTCGATTTTGAATCTTGAGTTATTAAATTGATTCGATAAAATCAAATTTGTATGCTTTTAATTGAAGTAAATGTCTTTTTTCTTTCGTCATTTAATGAAATATTGTTTTTTTGGATTACTCCCCTTCATATATAATTATGTGTTATTGGGTTTTTTGTTTAAACCTCTTTGATAGTTAAATAATGATTTGCATTATACCATGATGTTCTATGTAAGGTATTAATGACTTGATTACGTCCCTTGGAAAGGATTAGTTTTTTTAAATATAGCTTTTCACATAGAAAAAAAAAATAATAATAAAAAATAAAACCATAAGGATCGGGTGTATTGGCTACTTTATCATTTTATATACAGTAGTTCCACACTGAAGAGGCATCTTGCAAGTCAGTTTTCTTATTTCTTTGAAGAAAATATACTTAGTCCATATAACACTATCTTTGAAGGATTTGACAAGCTCTGCCTATAAAGAACAAGGCACTGTCATCTACTTTCCCAGAGTTCTTTCTTGTTTCCATTGTTATGACAACAACGCTGTAAAGGGCAGCTAGAAAATATGGTGTAAATAACTTACTGTTGATCAACCCAGGACAGTTTTAATTCTATTAATTTCATTTGTGAGCTTTCATGATTATTGCTTTTCCAGACACAGATGACAATGCAAGAGTTATAGCTCCTGATAAACCCTCTATTTAATCATATTATAATGATTTATATATTATTTGTACAAGCTATTTATATTATTTGAGAAAAAATGCTAGAATTGATTATGGTTGATTCTTTAGAGTTAGTTTGTTAGTCTTATTATTGAATAACAATTTTTGTTCTTTTAGTATTTGAAAATGTGAACTGTCATTTTAGTTTTCTAGAAGTAACTTGTTATATAGTATAGTATAATCTACTAGAAATAAATAGAAAGTTATTTAAAAAAAACAGTATAGTTGGCATAGATTTAATAATGATTTGATAGACCATAAATTTAATATTGATAACACAAAAGATATAATAATGATTTGATAAACTATATAAATAATGATTATTTGATAAACCATACATTTAATATTGATTTGATAAATCATAGATTTCATATTAATTTGATAAACCATAAACTTAATAATGATTTGATAAACCAAGGATTTAATACTGATTTGATAAACCATTCAATTATGATTTGATAAACCATTGATTTGATAATGGTTTGATAAAACATATATTTTAAAATGATGTGATAAAACCATAAAATTGATAATGGTTCAGGTTTGAATAAACCATAAATTTTATAATGATATGATAAACCATAGATTTTATTATGGTTCAGGTTTGATAAACCATAGATTTTATAATGATATGATAAACCATATATTTTATTATGGTTCAGGTTTGATAAACCATAGATTTTATAATGATATAATAAACCATAGATTTTATTATGGTTCAGGTTTGATAAACCATAGATTTTATAATGAACCAAAGGTTTTATACCATAATTCTAATAATGATATGATATACCATTGATTTGATGCTGGTTGATGAACCATAGATTTTATATTGATTTGATCAACTAGAGATTTAATAATGATGTATGTATGTATTCTAGGCTTAATGATGGTCCATCACTGAGAGTTCAGACACCAGACAATGTCGATCACCATTCATGTCCTTAAATGTTATTATCAACCAAAATGTGACCTATAAATTTTGAACTCAGTAATTCACTGAATGATATTTATTAATTTTGTATGCAAGTCGATTTTTTGTGATGATACAATTTTAAGGCACAGGAGGCCATTATGAGACCATTATATGTATTATGAAGAAAAATAAATGGTCATATCTTTGATTTAATAATGGTTTGATAGAGTTGGTCTTTTATCATAGGCCATAACTAGAGGACAAGTTTTTCTACCAATTTCAAAACCTTGACATAATAACAGAACCAAATTTATTTGAAATGGTTGAACTGTTACACTTAAATGCCAAAATCATACCACTAGGTCCTTGCGTGGCATATTGAATGGCTTTTTACATGAAAAATTGGTGCTTTCTTTTTTATTTCTTTAGGGAGAAAATATAATGCTTCTTGAAGTACATGTAATTTTTTTATGCAATTTTTCCTTTTTTGCAGTTTTTGACATTATTTAAATTTGATAATGGAAACCTGTTTAGATTATTTATTACACTTTAAACAGTTTAATAAGTGAATTATGATATATGTAATTGTTCATATTACATTCTACTGCATCAATGCAAGTTGATTTACTGCTGTATGTTTTTGTAACTAAATCTACTAGGTAATTGAAATTTAATTGCATTTTATTGTGAATCGTAACATATTTATTGTGCAAGAGATATCAATTTTATGCATATAAATAGTCATTAGAATATTATATAGGTGTAAAAATATGTCTGTTAGCTAAAAGTAATTGAAAAAAGAGAAATATAGGCATTCATATAAAATGAATTATAAATGTATTTTCAACATGCAAGATTTGCATTTAATTCCTTAAATGACAGTGATTTTTATATGAAATGACGTCAAATGGTCATTATCCACTTATACTCAGGGATAAATACTGTAAATTAGAATTTGTTAAAGCCAAAATATAAAATGGCCTGTTAATGATACAGGCCTCTGGTTGTTGGACAATTCAAAATACTTATGTAATACAGGAAAATTTATACATAATTATTTCATGAGCTTTGCATGCTGACTAGTAGATTTTGTTAATTATGTTATAAGATATGCAGATGAACCCTTTCCATGCAGAACCAAAAATAAATATTAAGCCTTTGCCACCAGTATAATAAGAGCCACTGCCAGCCAGAGCTACCATGCAGTCCAGACTGGCTAGACTGTTTGCGCTGTTGACTGACCGACTTTAAATTTTCATTCTGAGAGGCATCCAAAACTAATAAAGGACAGTTCCAGGAATGGAGGCTGGACAAATCTGTTTAAAAAAAGGTTTATTAATGATAATTGTTCATTTTGTCTGTTTGCGCTACTCTTACACTTATTATGAGCTTATACTACAGTATTGATGGCAACAACCAGGGTTTCACATTTCTTTAAATTTATCATGGACATAACTTTAAATTAGCTTAATATAAGGTTATTTTCCCAAACAAGGAAAGCTGCAAATTTGAATATGACCTTTAACTTTCTTAAATTGAATGATTTCTTCCTTTCTACAAACGAAAAGTAATTAGTATATATCAAAGTGAAAATGGAATTAGATTTCTTCATAAAACTATAGTTCTTGTAAAACTATATCAAATTTTGAAAGTTCATTACCATGAAAATTTGCTGACATGACCATACAGGCAGTGAACTTGAATGCATTATAGTCTTATTAAATTTTAAGGTTTTTGGTGGTTATTTAATTTTAGGACTTTTGGAGGTTATTTCATTTTAGGAGTTTTGGTAATTATTTTATTTTAGGACTTTTGGTAGTTATCAAATTTTAGGACGTTTAGTGTTGTTTTTTTATTTTTTTATTGAAGGACTTTTCGTGGTTAATTTTTTTTAAGACTTTTGGTAGTTATTTAATTTTAGATCTTTTGGTAGTTATTTGATTTTAGGACTATTGGTAGTTATTTGATTTTAGTACTTTTGGTAGTTAATTAATTTTAGAAATTTTGGAAGTTAGTTAATTTTAAAACTTTTGGTAGTTAGTTAATTTTAAGTCTTTTGGTAGTTATTTGATTAAATGACTTTTGGTTGTTAGTTTTAAATTTTAGAACCTTTGGTTGTTATTTGATTTTAGGACTTTTGGTGGTTTTTTAATTTTAGGACTTTTGGTGGTTTATTTTTTTAGGCTTTTGGTATTATATATGGACTTTTGGTGGTTAATTTTTTTAGGCTTTTGGTAGTTATTC